TCCTGAGTAGCTGGGATTACAGGCACACACCACCATGCTCAGCTAATGTTTTGTATTTTTAGTAGAGACGGGGTTTCACCACGTTGACCAGGATGGTCTCGATCTCTTGACCTCATGATCCACCTGCCTCGGCCTCCCAAAGTGCTGGAATTACAGGCGTGAGCCACCGCGCCTGGCCCTTTTTTTTTTTTTTAAGACAGGGTTTCACCATGTTGGTCAGGCTGGTCTTGAACTCTTGACCTCAGGTGATCCACCCACCTTGGCCTCCAAAGTGCTTGGATTACAGGCGTGAGCCACCACACCAGGCCGCTTTTATTTTTTCAATAAAACTTCTTTAGTGTTTCACTATGGAAAAATTAGGGGAAAAAAAGCAGATAAATGGGAGAAATTACAAAGAAGAAACCCTCTCCTCTGTGTAGTCCCATCACCAAGAGATAACTGTTGATAATAGCTAAGTAAATATTCTTCCAATCTTTGTCTCATATATAGTAGTTTTTAAGCATTTGTTTTTATTCCAGAACTATAAATTTTAATCTAAGTGTTGTTTCTTCATACATTCAGAACAGGTATATTTACATTTTCTTTCAGTTGTTACAGAAGATGGCCCAGAGCCCAAGGACAAAGGATCATTGCCACAACCACCTATTACCGAAGTGGAATCACAGGTGTTCTCAGAAAGACTTGCTACTGACACTGCTACATTTGATGCTACCTCTGAGGGTACCTTAGAACTGCAGCAGAGAAATCCCAAAGCAGAGAGACTGAGGTGGTCCCCTGACCAGGGGAAAAGTTTCAGACAGATGGTTGTCACCCATAAGGAAATTTCCACAGGGAAGAAAGACCATGAATGTAGTGAATGTGGTAAAACCTTCATTTATAACTCACATCTTGTTGTCCACCAGAGAGTTCATTCTGGAGAGAAACCCTATAAGTGTAGTGACTGTGGGAAAACTTTCAAACAGAGCTCAAACCTCGGTCAGCATCAGAGGATTCATACAGGAGAGAAACCCTTCGAATGTCATGAATGTGGGAAGGCCTTCAGGTGGGGTGCTCACCTTGTTCAGCATCAAAGGATTCATTCAGGAGAGAAGCCCTATGAGTGTAATGAGTGTGGGAAGGCCTTTAGTCAAAGCTCATATTTAAGTCAGCATCGGAGAATTCACAGTGGAGAGAAACCTTTTATATGTAAAGAATGTGGGAAAGCTTATGGATGGTGCTCAGAACTCATTAGACATCGGAGAGTTCATGCCAGAAAAGAGCCTTTGCATTGAATTGAAGGGGAGAACGCCTCCAGACAGAATTCTGTGTCGCTCTAATCTACTTTAGGACTGGATCCCATAAAAGTTATAAGCTCCTTAAGATTTTTCCTGTGTCTTTCTTAATTTAGGAAAAACTGTTTACTTAGTTCCACCTGTAGAACATCCCTTCATGTCCTTTGATTAAGATACCGATATCAATTAGGATGTCATTGGCTGCAAGTAGTAGCCAAGTTGTTTTGCTTCTCCTTTCTAGCATGATCTTTGGCAAGATTCTGAACTGCCCAGTTTGCCCACCAATAATGTCTACTTCATTAGAATTTGTTTGTTTTTTTTTTTTTTTTTGAGATGGAGTCTTGATCTGTTGCCCTGGCTGGAGTGCAGTGGCATAGTCTAGGCTCACTGCAACCTCCGCCTCCCAGGTTCAAGCGATTCTTCTGCCTCAGCCTCCCATGTAGCTGGGGCTACAGGCGTGCGCCACCATGCCCAGCTAATTTTTGTATTTTTAGTAGAGATGGGGGTTTCACCATATTGGCCAGGCTAGTCTCGAACTCCTGACCTTGTGATCTGCCCACCTTGGTCTCTCAGAATGCTGGGATTAAAGGCGTGAGCCACTGTGCCCGGCCTACTTCATTAGAATTTTTAACCTGGCACTGAGCAGCTGCTTGGGAAGTGTTAGTTATGTTGGTATTTATTTGTATTTATGGTGAATGGGTCTTTAGGCCAGGTTTTTTTTGTTTGTTTTTTTGGTAGAGATGGAGTCTCACTATTTTGCCCAAGCTGGTGTCAAACTCCTAGCCTCGAGCAATCCTCCTGCTTGGCTTTCCAAAGTATGGGGATTACAGGCATGAGCCGCAGTGCCTGACCAGCTCTGACCCTTTCTCAGACCCATACTAGTCTGCCTGCTCAGACAGGGTCTCATCTTCAAGTGTCCAGTCAGGGGACAGAAAATTTGAAGAAACTTTAAAGAAGTTGGCCGGGCGCGGTGGCTCAAGCCTGTAATCCCAGCACTGTGGGAAGCCGAGGCGGGTGGATCACGAGGTCAAGAGATCGAGACCATCCTGGTCAACATGGTGAAACCCCGTCTCTACTAAAAATACAAAAAATTAGCTGGGCATGGTGGCGCGTGCCTGTAATCCCAGCGACTCAGGAGGCTGGGGCAGGAGAATTGCCTGAACCCAGGAGGCGGAGGTTGCGGTGAGCCGAGATCGTGCCATTGCACTCCAGCCTGGGTAACAAGAGTGAAACTCCGTCTCAAAAAAAAAAAAAAAAGAAACTTTAAAGAAGTGTTAACTAGCAAAAAGGGATTATCTGCTAAAGGGAATAAATAAATCTCTAAAGAATTTAGGAGCTGGGTGTGGTGGCTTATGCCTGTAATCCCAACACTTTGAGCAACCGAGGCAGGACAATCACTTGAGGTCAGGAGTTTGAGACTAGTCTGGCCAACATGGTGAAACCTCATCTCTACTAAAAATATGTTTAAAAAAAAATAGCCGGCATGGTGGTGTGTGCCTTTAATCCCAGCTACTTGGGTGGCTGAAGTAGAAGCATAGCTTGAACCCGGGAGGCGGAAATTGCAGTGAGCCAAGATCATGCCACTGCACTCCAGCCTGGGTGACAGAGCAAGACTCCATCTCAACAAAAAATATAGGAATAGGACAAGCATGATGGCTCACTCCTGTAATCCCAGCACTTTGGGAGGCTGAGGTGAACAGATCACTTGAGCCCAGGAGTTCAAGACCACCCTGAGCAAACAACATGATGAAACTCCATCTCTTCAAAAAGACAAAAAATTAGCCAGGTGTGGTGGTGTGTGCCTGTAGTCCCAGCTACTTGGGAGGCTGAGGTGGGAGAATCACCTGAGCCCAGGAGGTTGAGGCTACAAGTCATGATCATACCACTGCACCCCAGCCTGGGTGACGGAGTGAGACCCTGTGTTAAAAGATACAGAAATAGCAGAAAAGGGAACAGCTACTACCACTACCTCTAGGGCTGAGGGAGAATTCTCAAGAAGTAAACTTAGAAGAGCCCCCACCCCTCTGAACAATATTGAAATTCAGACTTTATTGATTAGGGTGTGGCTATTCCAGTGTTGTGCTAGAGCTGGTCTGTACAGGCTGGCAAGAGCCGATTTTGCACATCACTTCCCAAATCTGCATTGAAATTAGCCATGATGCGAGTATTCACATTATGGAAATCAGGATACACAGTAAATGAGAGACTTTTTATTTTGGTTTTGAACTAGCTGTTAGCTAGTTGTTAAATATTTACCAACACAAGCCAGGCACAGTAGCAGGTGCCTATAGTCCCAGCTACGGAGGAGGCTGAGGTGGTCCAGCCTGGGCAACATAGCAAAATCCTATCTCAAAAAAATTAACATTTTTTTGGTGTACTTGTTGTATAGAGTGCAAGGGACAAATGCATTAGATGAGGCTGGAGAGATGAAATTTAGCAGCTATCTAGGCCTTTTAAGCCACATAAGGCATTTTGGATTTAAGAGCAGTGGGAAGTCATTACTAGGGAGTGACACCATCAGTTACTCAGTTAGGCACTTCAGAAAGATCACCTAGAGTGTGGAAAATTGAAAACAGGCACTAGGAGACTTGTAACCTCCAAGTAATGTGACTACCTAAATTGAGGGAGTGGCCACGGGGATGTGGAAGAGGAGACAGACTTGAAAAATATGAAGGGGGTAAGATCAGGACTTTTGGGGGTCGATCCGACTTCCAGGAAGAAAACAGCCCACCCTCCCTCTAGACTGTAGCTCAATTTATGCTTCAAGCCAAACAGTGCAGATGGGTCCACATTTTCCTCCCAAGAGCCTTAGGCTCTGTCGGGGAACCCCATTCTACAGGCCTTTCTTGGGCACCTACCTCTGCACACACCTGCGAGGACCCCAAGGCCAGAGGTGACAGAGTGGCTGCCCTACAGACAGTGTGGCCATAAGCCCTGAGGGTGAGGGAGGAGAGCTATAGGCCAGAGAGCACGTGGAAATGGGGAAGCTTTGGGCTTAGGGTTAATGGAGTCAGTTTCCTCTTCCAGGCACATGAAAATTACTGAAGCAGTGCTTCAACTATACTACTAAACTTCAGAAAGAGGCTTTATATTGCAAAGTTACAGATGAAGAAGACTAAAATAGATGAAATAATTTGTCCAAGGCCACATAATTGGTAAAGTGGCAGGGCCAAGATCTGAATCTAAATATGATTTCAAAGCCTGTGCACATGGCATTCTTTACTCAGAGCTGCAAGGAAGAAAAGTGGGGCTTTTGCATTTCCAACTTGAATTGTGGAGCAGAGAAAACCAAATTCACTGTCCTAGTCAGCAATACCCAGACAGATGAGTGCTTAGTCCCAGTAATGAGACTATCTCTGCTGCCCAGGAACCAATGTGAAATTTTTTTTTTTTTTTTTTTTTTGGAGACGGAGTTTCACTCATGTTACCCAGGCTGGAGTGCAATGGCGCGATCTCGGCTCACCGCAACCTCCGCCTCCTGGGTTCAGGCAATTCTCCTGCCTCAGCCTCCTGAGTAGCTGGGATTACAGGCACGCGCCACCATGCCCAGCTAATGTTTTGTATTTTTAGTAGAGACGGGGTTTCACCATGTTGACCAGGATGGTCTCGATTTCTTGACCTCGTGATCCACCCGCCTCGGCCTCCCAAAGTGCTGGGATTACAGGCTTGAGCCACCGCGCCCGGCCCCACCAATGTGAAATTTAACTAATTAAATTTAAAATTAAATGTAATCGGACTGGCATGGTGGCTCATGCCTGTAATCCCAGCACTTTGGGAGGCCAAGGTGGGTGGATCACCTGAGGGCAGGAGTTTCAGACCAGCCTGGCCAACATGGTGAAACCCTGTCTGTACTAAAAATACAAAAAATTAGCCGGGTATGGTGGCAGGAAACTGCTACTCCCAGAGGAATTGGAGGAGAGTCAGGGAAGGCCTCAGAGGACAAGCCCATTGCAACGGTCCTTGAAGCTGAAGGTAAACAAGGGTGGGGATGGGTGTTAAATGGACAGTGGCCCTGGGAGGAGGGATGGAGTCTGTAAAGGCAAGGAGGCATCAAAGTGCTGGGTATATGTGCGTACAAGCAGATCAGGGTCGCTGGTGCATGGTGCTGGTGCCAGTATTGGGATGGGAGGTTCTGGGACCAGGATGCCATGGGCTCCAGAGGCATGGTGGCGTGGGGAGAAGGGTCCTGAGAAATAAGTGGTATGATGAGAGCTGTGATTTCCAAAGCATAAGGAGGATGGACAGGAGGCTGGCAAGGAGTATGAAAGAAAGATTTTTGAGGATGATACAGGCAAAAGATCTGACTTCCTCTTCCTTTGTTTTTCAGGGCTGAAAGTTGCAAGTAAAAGGGAATTTTTTTTCTTTTTTTTTTAAGACGGAGTTTTGCTCTTGCTGCCCAGGCTGGAGTGCAGTGGTGCGATCTCGGCCCACTGCAACCGCTGCCTCCCGGGTTCAAGAGATTCTCCTGCCTCAGCCTCCTGAGTAGCTGGGATTACAGGCATGCGCCACCACGCCTGGATAACTTTGTATTTTTAGTAGAGATGGGGTTTCTCCATGTTGGTCAGGCTGATCTCAAACTCCCAACCTCAGGTGATCCACCTACCTCAGCCTCCCAAAGTGCTGGGATTGTAGGTGTGAGCCACCAAGCCTAGCAGGGATGTGTTTAAAGCAACCTGTGGCTATCTTGTTTTTGAGTAAATGCTTTGATCAATTCCAACTAAAGAAAAGTTTTGGTTCACCTGTTAACATTGTACTTGCCCACATCATAGAAAAATCAGATAATCATTTATTGCCACTTATTTATTAATTCATTCATTTATTAATGAGTGGCAACCCTGGGGTGAATACTCTTCTACAAGAGTTAGCCCTGTCCTCAAGGAGCAAAGCAAAATTACTGCCAGAAATGAAGGAGGCAAGATCAAAGTTTCATGTCAGAATGAAAGTGTTCTGCAGTGAGTTAAGTCCCCATATGCCTGGCCACTGTGCATGCTCAGAGGCTGAAGTTGATAAGAACCGGGCTGGTCTTTTCCACATTGGCCTCAAAGGTCCTCTCCAGTGTGAATTTCCCAATGAACTCCAAGGTGAAAATT